CATTAATTAAATCAGTAATCTATATTGATACTGATTTAGAAACATGATATACAAATTACATACATACACTTCTATGATAAATCATATCTATGCGAAAAAAAAATAAAAAAGAACTCCATGTCAAACTGTTGTTGATTATTTTCTTGAATATATGCCTGTCGATCACAACGCCGAAGAAGTCATTAATTAAATCAGTACTTTATATATTTTTTGTAACACTTCATATACAATATTGTTTCTATAATCTTAAATAAAATACGTGTAATACTGAACAAATTATATAAATATATAAATCTTACTGAAATTTCAACGTTAATATCTGATGCATTTGAAATTAAAAAGATGTAGATATATATTTCTACGTATATATATATATATATATATATATATATANATATATATATATATATATATATTGTATACTTGACAGAATAATTTACCATAACATTAAGATGCAATAATTATAATCATACTGTAACGTATTACATAAATACGCATTTTTAAAAACACTAAACTTGTGTAATATCCTATATTGTATATTTATTACAATGTAGTTATTTTATATGTATGTAATATAATTGAAATTATTTATAACAAAATAATAAGGCTTCTAATGTACATCCACCAAAACGTTAATTAATTTTTACAATTAAACTATTTTTCATTTTTTTTAACTAAAAAATATTAAAATGACAAATAATACGTGACTTTCAAAAGATTTCTAACCATACAAATTATTTAGTAGAAATAAAACCGGTATTTTTAAACATCTAATTATTTTTATATTGTTTTATAGTTTTACTTTATCCATAATTTTAGTGTTTCATGTATACAATAAAATATTTCTTATTTTTAACATTTTTCTTCATTTGTTATAATAATATATAATTGTTATGATACGAAGTTAGATGAAATAATTATTGCAAATCAGAAGATCGTCTGAAGTGTGCTGAGGTCGTAAACGGACCTTCATCGGCAAATCCAGCGATCTCTTGTGGGATAATAGCATATTCTTCTATACTTGTGCACGGTCTACACATACATTCTAAAGGTGCTTTGGTAATTACCTGTTAAAAAATAATTAACCATAAATTCATATAATGTACTATATATATATATAATTATAAATTTAAATAATTTTATATAAAAATATTCTCATTTGATTTCTTATAGTGTTTGTTATAAAATATAGAAATAAATATAATTTTATATTTATAAATTATTCTTATAAAGTAATTCAATTCAAATCACGCGCGATATTCATTTTCTGATGTGCTTCCCACTGGTCGGTTAGACGAAAACAATATGGCTGCGGGAAACTCGTGGTGTCAAAAGTTTAGTTCCTGATTTTATGGTTCTTAAGTGATTAATTGATCGACGCTTTATTAGTTTTTAATATTTGTTCAAAATGTTCCAAATTTTATGATTAATTCAGAACAATAACTTAACCTTTCGGAATTTTTTTTCGCCTGGTTTGGCTCTCGGACAAAATAGTGATACACTGGCCTCTCTTTCGCCGCTTTCTTGACAACACATGCAGCTTCTTTCCATTTGCCAAATTTTTGATCCAGACACCTGTAGAAACAGGTACGAATAAATAGATATTTATGTATATAAATATATATGAATTTGAAAATTTTGTTTTCAAATATATAGTTAAGTTAACGTTGCATAAAATACAATGGCATCCAACAATTATAAATATATAAAACTGATGTCTATATGTTTATATGAATTCTAAATAATGAATAATGGAAAATGTTTGGAATTTTTACATATATTTAATTATTAATGGAAAATATTTTAGTAATAAATCTTACAGTTTATTATTCAAAATTATGTAATTACATAGAAAATTGAAACATTATAAAAGTAATTATGTGGCAGAAAAATTTTAATCTTAAATATTTAAATAAATTTAAATTATTTTAATATTAAAATTAATTAATATTAAGTGATGTATATATTATATTATGTATATATAAATTTATATACATAAGATTTATAAAAATATTAGTATAAATAATATTTTTATTTATTTTGAATAATAATATAATTAATTGAATAAAAATACAAAAAACTAAATAAATATACTTTAAATATGACTATTATTTTTGTTAACCAGTACAAAGAAGATTCATAAATTTATCTATAAAATAAAAATAAGATACAATATTAATAAGATGCAATATATTTGTAAATATATTTATATATTTATTCATATATATTACCTGTAGGTAACTACTGCAACGTCCTCTACATGCATAACTGGGAATTGGTTTTGGAACACATCCAGGATATTGTAAAAAGTGGATAACTGGAGTTGCTTGACATTCATCAACACCTATAATTGCTTTCGCTGTTTCATTTAGCAAGCATATTAATACACTGGCACCTACTACATAGTAAGTAGAATTATATAAAATTACATTTTTATTTAATTTATAGTTAAAAAATCAAGTTATTTCATTTTTTTATTTTTATTTAAAGTTTTTTTGGATTTTAAATATGAATATTATAATATTTTATTTACCAATATGATAGAGCAACATAATGTTAGTAATAATAGGATACTTTTCCTCCTAGATCTAGTACTTAACTGTGCTTAAAGATTGTGCGCTCTATCCTTTTATACTCTGTGGGTAAGCATGTTTCTCCCCTTCCATGATTGTGTTATGTTATAATAACACAAATAAAGGGATCAAGTATATAGAAATGCTATTAAAGAATAAGTGTTTCTTTTAGATACTGATTGTTCCATATTTATTTTCATGAGAAAACATTTTCATTAAATATCTTTACATTTTTTATAAAAAATTATTCTGATAAAATTGATTATTATGAAAGACATTGCATATAAATTGATTAAAATTAAAGTTTATAAACCAAAAATTGAAATTTAATTTTCTACATTATTTTTATTATGCTTTATTATATACTATTATATATTTTTTTAATATAATAACTTTATATATTGATTGTATATGATTTTCTGAATATAATTCTAACATATATATAAAAATTATATTTTAAAATATGGATTATTTACTAAAATATTAGGTTATTTATTATAAATATTTATTATAATTATGTATAAAAAGCTATATTAAACATTTTCTTTTTCAAATCAATTGTTTAGATAACATTATAAATGATTTTTTTATTGGAATATTATAAATTTTCAAAAATAATTTGTTTATAATATTTCTAATTAAAATTAAATTAAATTGATATAAGAACAATGATCATAATAACATATAATTATAATATTTTAATTTAAATAATGAAAGAATTATATTTTATTATATAAAGTTTAAAATATAGTATTATTACTTTTTATAATTCTATTTCCTTTAATTTTCCTTTTTTTTTTTAAATAATTTCATTAATAAAAAAAATTAATAAATTTCTATATATTACTCTATATTAATCATATCAATAATTATTTATATATATATTCTTTAATTTGTTTCTTAATAATAAGCAATAATATTATTTAAATATATTATATTATAATATATTAAATATATTATAATAATATTATATGCATTATATATCTCAATTTTTAAAAAAAAATTAAAATTTTTAGATGAAAAAATTATAATTTTTAAATGACTAATTATAAAACTATATTATATAAAATTATATAATAATAAATAAAAAGAAAATATTAAATATAACATTTAATCACTTTTTACTGTATAACTTATTATATTATAAAATAATTCATTTTAAATAATATTATAATATTTAAACTTATTTAAATTTGATATTCAATAAATTGTATTTTTTAATATTATTTATAAATATAAGGAGATAAAGAAAGTAAATTATTTTATATATATTTTGTATTTTCATTTTTATTTTGAACTATATAATTTTTATTACATAATTTATAAATAATAATTTTATTATCACTTTTATAAATTATTTATTGGGATATATCACCACATTTAATACATTTACATTCTACTGGTTCACGTATCTTGATTTCCATTACTCCATTTTCTTCATTCATTAATTTTATACCATCTGCATCATAACAATGATGTAATGTAATATGTCTTTCTTTTAAATAACTTTCACGGCAGCAATAACATTCCTATTACAAAAAAAATAAGTTTTTTTATTGCTCTTATAAAAATATTTTTTGTACTTTATATACTTATGTACTTATGTACTTATGTACTTTAACATTTTTACCTTTGAAAATCCTGTTGTACTTGCTACACTTGGTTGTACCTGTGAATTACAAAATCCTTCACATTTTGTAACAAATATATCTCCACTACATGTTCTTTTTAACCGACCTATTTCATCATATTCATCTAAAATAAATAAAAAATATTTTATTTTTTTTATTTATATATTGAATTATTTATATATTTAATGAAATTAGGAAAAAAAAATAATACCTTTTGTAATATGTACTTCTGATTGCAATGTTTCACAACTCTCATCATCTGTTACTTGAGCAACTGTTTCATTAGTATATATGAATATAATTAATATCAAAAAAATTGAATATACGAACATAATACTGAAGTTTTCTTTCATTGATATTTTATTGATATTTTATAGAATCTATTTTTAATATAGCAAAGATATGCTCAGAGATTCTAAGTGAAATGAAAGAACAGAAAATCAAACAGATGCTTTTATAGGTGGCTTTCCCTTCAACATGTTATTACTTAGGGGTGCTGAACTCCTGCTAAGACATAATAGCATATCTGAATCAGGATTAGTTTCCCTTATATTGCACACTATTAGATTTTTTTTAGTGTAGAGACTGTTTTTTTTTAGTATTTTGCATTATGACTCTAATGGCCTTTTTATGTTTTTACTCTCTGGGTGATCATACTAAAGAAGCATTATTAATTTTTTAGATCTTAAATCTTTTATATTTTACTATGTGATTGAAATATAGGTGTAAGTAAAAACATATTAATGAAATTTTAATTTATTTTTTATTATATGTACATTTAATTAAATTAAAACATTCCATTTAATGATCATTTCTTTCATTTCCTGGACAATTATCTACTAAATCTTTTTCATCCAGAAATGCTACTCCACACCAAATACAATAAAAATACTTTTCTCTTAAATATTTTGTTAAAATTTCAAGTTTTTCATTAACAGGGAAAAAATCATCATCTTTTTCACTATCGCTATTTTCATCATCTTGAGGCAACCAAAACCATATTTCTTTAGGTTTTGTTATTTCTTGTTGCATATCTAATTTTTGACAAATTTTTTGACTTTTATATAAATCTGTTTTTAACAATTGTTCTTTCCTTTTTTGTGCAATTCTATCTCGAAAATCTTTCATACTCTTATTATCTAAATTATCATTAAATATATTATTTTTATTTTTTCTTTCTTTTCTCTCATTTTGTTTTCCTAAACCTTGTCTATCTAATTTAATGTCAAGGTTAATTGGTTCAATTCTTCCTGATTCTGTTTTACCTATGCCATGACCAGGTTTATATCCCATTTTCATAATCATTGCATAACCTAAAAACAAACAGAATTGTATAAATGATAATTATAAAAATATTTAATAATATTATATAATATAATATGATATATACAATTTAAAATTTTTATTAAAAAATAGAAAAAACAAACCTTTATTAGAACTTGTAATTGCAGAAGATAAACCTGCTTCTCTAGTTTCTTCTTCAATATGTTTTAAAGAATTTTTTTCATCTAATTTTGCTTCAATTTGCTTTTTTTTTTTTAAGAGTTCAAATTTTCTTTTATCTGCATGTCTATATATGAGACTGGATGAAGTAGATTTTTCACTTCCTTGTAAAAATTTATCTGACATATAATCTTCTGCATCTGACATTTTTATTTATTTTTCTATTTCGAGTTATTGTTTCTTGGTTATTTATATGAAACACTGATTCTTGTAAAATTCCATTTATTACTGAAATATAATTCGTTGCATTTTTTATTTCACATATTAATTATAGAAGAAAAAAATGAATTTATACAATAAAAAATTAGTTGTTAGAATATATTTATCTATTATTTATGTATGAAAATTTTTTTAAATTATGAAGTTTACTATTTATTATTTATTAGGTTATGTTCGCAATGTTGCCATATACAATGAACCATTCAAAAAACATTGACCTTTGTATGTTCGCATAAGAATATTTGAAGTATATATGCTTAAAGATATTATCTTTATTTAAATTATTGATTTTTCAGAAATCTCTATTCAATTGTTTTCAAATATTTGCAACATAAATCCCAAATTTATATATTTCTTATAAATTGTATGTAAATATAATATTATATAATATTTAATCATGAAGATGTGTATAAATTAAAATTTTATAAATAAAAAACAAATAAATGATTCATATAAAAAAAATAACTAAAAAAAATATTTTAATAATTTATCACAATTCAATTATTTAATTTTTGAAAATAAAATTTTATGATATCATATTGATATATATATATATATATATATATATATATAACTTAATAATATTCTGAAATTATAATAATTATTTTTAGATCTTAGATAAATTAAATTATAATATAAAAAAATAAAAATATAGTATAAATCATAAAAACTAAAATGTACAATATTTTATGTTTAACAAGATACTGTATGAAATATTTTATTTTTTAAAAACAAATTTTTAACATTTTCTAATCTTTTATTCTATAATTTGCAAAAAAAATATAAATATATTCTTTAATACAATAAAAAATCGAAATCAAAATATTTTATTCTTTAGTTTTGTGTTTGTAATTAATTTTGATTGATATTTCAATATTATTATTAAATTTTGCAGCAAATTTAACAAATTCTTTATTACTAAATATAAATAAGTAAAATCAAATATACAAATCTTTTAATAATTAGTATAATTATTATAGCGCTTTGTTTTATTATTTTAAAATATACCAATATTACAACTTTTATTTCTATCATATTTTTTAATGATTATAAATATCTTTTTAAATATCTTAATAAATCTGTTAATGATTGTTTACAATGTAGTACACCCAAGAATTTACGTACTTTGAATTTGCTACACCGTTGTAATCGTATAGATGACTATACTGCCGTCGGTCGATAAACAGCGAAACGCGGAATTGAAAAGTACTGAGTTGAAGGAACGTGGACCGTTTGTATCTCAATACAGTAATGCAGTAGTTCGAGAACAATATTTTTGGTCTTTACCTAGTTGATCACAACATTACTCGATTCATTATGTTCGAGTATTGTTGATTACGTATTGTGTGTTTCACACTTTTCCAATGAACTTCCTTGAATATACCGTCGAAGACTTCAAAGTGCAAAGGAATTGGTACGAAGGACGAAAGTGTGAAAGCGTACGCTCACCGCTACTTACGCGAAGAAATATATCTTTTGACTATTTTCAATACACTTGGAAGATTTGATCTGATTATATTTTGATGAAACATTCGTTGAAGTAATCAAGGAATATTCTGGATTTGACTAATTGACAAGTACAGTAACCGTAACATTTGTACTAGAAATTTTATGATAAATAGAAAAGAAATACCACAAGGTCGTTGAAATAGTAATAGAATCTTTTTTTTGCTGTAGAGACATTTGAATACGTATGTCGGGTGTGAATAGTGGCTTTTGTGACAAATCAAAACGACAGTAAAAATATTCAATGATATTAAAACGTGTGATTTTCAATTTTCAAACTTATTATTCTTCATTATGTGTTTGTAATTAATTTTTCTTTATACGTGTTTTGTACTGTTCTTGGAAAGATTTATTGTTTTTGGATTTTACATCGGCTATGGTTGTAGCCAGTGGTGAGTGGGTACAAAATGCCAGTTTTCCTGCCAATCAGAATTCCAACCTGAAAATAAATTCTGTACAAAATAACAAAATGACAGCAAAAGGAGTTTTAATTTGTCGTGATAATTCTCATCCTTTTGAAGAGCGTACATTAATATTGGACCAACCTGTTAAAATTGGCCGTTCTGTAGCAAGAGCTAGAGCTACTCCAAATAATGCAATTTTTGATTGTAAAGTATTATCGAGAAATCATGCATTATTATGGTATTCAGGTGGAAAGTTTTTTTTACAAGATACACGTAGTAGTAATGGAACATTTGTTAATAATCAAAGACTCAGTGCAGCTAGTTTAGAATCAGCACCAAAAGAAGTATGTTCAGGTGACATAGTGCAATTTGGAGTAGATGTAATAGAAAGTACAAAAAAAGTTAGGCATGGATGTATAGTTGCAACATTAAAATTATATTTACCAGATGGAAAAGAAGCTAAAGCTAGTCATAGCACAGCTGTTACATCACCATTTAATAATATTTCTTTGGAAGATGTATATAAACTAAATCAAGTTATGCAAGAAGCTTCAAGACGTGAGAAAGCACTTTATTCTAAGTTAGCATATCTTCAACAACTTGTAGCAAATACTCGAAAAGCTGCCAATCAATCTTGGAAAGCATTAATAACAGAAGACCGGTTATTATCTTGGGTGGAAAGTATGGAAAATCAATTGGCAGTTTATTCTAAAAATTACACAGAGGATAAAATTAGAAATGAATTAGTAGCACTTCAAGAAGAAAAGATACAATACCAAAATGCAGCAAAAGAGGCATTACAAAAAGTATTACAAGAAAAATTGGAGGTAACTCAGAGATTAGTTCAATTAGAAGGACGTTTAAATGAAACAGAAGAAGAATGTCAAAGTCTTCATAATGTAGCAAAATATACACAAACAGAACTTCAAGAATTATGTAGTAAATATACTGAAGCACAAAAAAAATTACAAGAAACTACAAATAAATTGAAAGAGAGTGAAGAAAAAATAAAAGATATAGTACAAAATACAGAACAAGAAAAGCAAGAACTTTTAAAGAGACTTGAAGATCAATCTAGAATTGAGAAAAATTTGCAGGCAAGATTACGTGATTCTCGGTTAGATTCTGTTAATATTTATAAGCAGATCACTGCCCTCAGAAATTATATGCAAATTCTGCAGGATATGAATTCAAAGTTAGTAACAAGTGATATTATAGATTTAAAGGATGAAGAAAATCCTATTGAGGCTATCAATATTATTCTTAATAAATTAAATTCCATTCATATTGACAATATAGATATTGATGCAGAAACTAACTTTTATTCTTTGAAAGATGAACATGATAATCAAATTAATTCACAAGATATTGATTCAAATCAGTTAAAAAATTCTGATGATTCTTTTTCAAAAGAACAAATGGATGATTCATTGGCTAATAATGATAATTCAACAGAATATATTTTACCACCACCTTCTCGAAAAACTTTAGTTAATGGAAATGTAAATATAGATAATACAGATATAAATTCAGAGCCTGATGTTAATTCAGATATAACTGATGATGCATGTAGTATTACCAATTTTGATACAAGTGAAATATCTGTTTTTGAAATTCAAAAAGAGGAACCTTTATATGCAAGAGAAGAATTTTTTGTACCTTACAAAATGGAAGTTAGATTTATATGTGAAGAAAATAGTAAACAATTAGAAACTTCTAATTTTTCTCAATCTGTTCAAAAAATAAAGGAAAATGAAGAAACAGAAATTAATATTGACAGCACAAATAACATTAAAATTATTTCAAATGAACCTTTTATAGAAATTGATCAACTGGAAAAAAAGGATGAAACAGATAAAGATAGCAATGAATTAGATGAACAATATGAAGAACATTTAGAAGGAGATTATGTTAAAACCTTAAAGCCATTATCCAAAAATGATACTACAGAACATGGTATACATACAAGAGAATATATATTGCAAACTTTGATAGGATCTTTAGATTCATTAAGAATTGAAGATAATTTAGAATCACAACAAATTATTAAAAAAGAATTAGAAAATCTTAAGGATTGGTTAATTTGTGAACCTCATGAAGAAATTGTAGAAAAACTGAAAGAAATATATTATCGTGCCAAGAATGAAGCTCAAAGAATTGAAGAACTCCATGAAGAATTAGTTATTTTAAAGGAAAAATACAATGCGTTTACTGAAGAAAAGGCAGAACTTTCGAAAAAATATACAACTCTTAAAGCACAATGTGGTGACTTGTTAAATACAACTTACACTGTACCAATACATTATGTAGCACCTATTGCAATTATATTAATATGGATGTTGCTTGAAAAGATATTTTAATGTTTTCTTTTTGTTTTTTGTATATAACTTTTACAATTGATTAATATAAAATTTTCTTTTTTTGCTTTTTTTTTTTTAATTAAGTTGTTATAAACATTCAAATGATCAAAATATAACAAACATAGGATGGTGTATAATTTCAATAAAAAAATTTGAACATTTTTATACCGATAAAAATATTAAAAATTGTATATATTTTTCCGATATTTGTTATTAAAGCACCAATCTCAGAAGATGTTCTAATAAATTATAAAGTTAAACTATAAAGCAAAGGTATACCATGTTACCATTTAAAAAAAAAGAACCAAAATCAAATTAAGCAGAGAATTGTAGCAATAAATATGTATATAGAAAAAGATTTTAGGCTAGGAGGAATGTTTAGAAAAATATAGACAATACCATGTAAAATGTTCAATATGCTGCCAATCTCGATATCATATCTTCTTGAATAAAATGGTATTAATCTCGATTTAAAAATATAATACACAATTTACGTCATTATTTTTTGCAATCAATTTAAGCACTGCACCCAACAATTGTATTATTATATTATAAATTATAAATAACGTTTATATGCAAAAATCAATTTTTATAAATGCCCGTCGATATATCCTACGTCTTAATAATCTTCCCTTAATATTTCTCCTAGAATTAATCTCGAATCTGTGCTAAATTAAAATACTCGATATTTATTTTAAACGATTCAGAGATGTGTTCAAAGCGTAAATCATTATTTAGTTCGATTTTTTCAACATTTTTTAATATTAAAAATTTATATAAGAAGAATAATAATAAGCTGAAAGAAATCGAATTTATTCATTCTTTACGATTAATAATTATATTATGTACATTTTAATTATAAATTAATGTTGATTTAAAGAAATTATTTAATCTTAAATATTAGTCAATTTTAAATTATAGTTTTTTTTCTCTCTTTTCTATTGTAACTAATATAATTGTTTCCTGTACATACTTAAAAATCATTTATTAATATATAATATTTAGCATGATTTAATACAAAGCTTTGATTAATAATTATTTTTATTAATTAATAATTATTATCATAGTGCTATTTTTTTTTTTTGCATATGCGCTTGTCTTTTTCTTTTTTCTTTGTCTTTTTATTATTATTATTATTATTATTATTATTATTATTATTATTATTATTGTTATTGTTATTGTTATTATTACGTTATATTACGTTATATTACGTTATTTTATTACGTATTATTATTATTTTGCTCTCTTATTTATTTCAATTTTTTTTCTGATAGAATGACAATAGAAGCATATCAACTTGAACGACCTAATAAATTTTAAAACAAAAAAACGATATATTTCAACACGAAACTTTTAATATGGTTCTTCTTAAGTCAGTGTATTCAGCGATTTTTCAGATAATAATAATGGCCTAAGCTCTGTTTCTAATGTATAAAAGCAGAAAAAAAAAAGTTATAATTATACTTTTATATTTATTTTGTTTTTTTTTTATACAAATTAACATTAGAATTAATCGTATTTTTTTTAATTACTGTGCCATTATTCGATCTATTTTTGTCCTGTTAAACAATAAATATTGATCGATTGTATGTAAGCAAATGATAAGTATATTCAATTTTCCAAAAAAGAAAAGAGCCGTTCTTTCTTTCCAGATTGAATGAGTGTTGTTTTTCTTGGTGGATTGAATATATATTTAAGATCGTGATGGTTTATATAATAAGATAATATTGTATATAACATTGTTGAACACTCTTACAATTCATGTAATAGCCGCTATATAAGAAAAAATAAAAAATTAACTTAACTGAAACTCTTTGCTGTTATTCATTAGTAACCTTTATCGATCACATTAATATCGATCAATTTATATCGACACGATACTGATAATTTTTTAAATAATTATATACACACAATATTTTTGCAAAGATCAGAAAATTAATATAAATTTGTAAATACATTTATCGTATTAATATTTATTAAAATTATGATTTAATATCATGGAAAATAAATATAATTGATATAAAGAATAATTATAATTCGTATTCTAGTTTTAAATATCAAATTGTATATAAAATTTATAAAATGCTTTTATGATATAATTTTTTCCTTGCATAATTATACGCGTATTAAAAATAGTATGGACATTTTACAAAAAATTGTATAAAATTTTACAAAAATTAAATTACAATAAATTGTAATAAATATTTTAATCTTGCAATTTTTCATTGATATGTAATTATTATTATTATTATAAGTATAATTGGATAATTAGTTTTCATTCATTTTGCAAGAGATTGAAAATTATGTTTTTTATATAGAATATATATTAATAAATGCATTAAATGCGAAATTTTATAACAAGAGAAATGTAATATTTCTGCATTTAATATTTTCAAAGGTTTTCTTTTTCAATACATTTTTGTTAATGTATTATTCAGACGTAAAAAAAAAAAATTATAAGTCAAACATAATTCAGAATAAAATAAAGAATTAGGAATATTTAAATCCTGTATATTTATCGATTACAAGAATAAATCTTATATTTCTAAATGTCTTTATCACAAATTATGAAAAGCTTTATTTCGTATATCAATGAATTATTAAATATGTAAGTTTCAATGTTCGACGATATCTAGTTTAGTATTTTGTTTGCTCTATACAAATTAGATTGATTTATCTATTGATTTATCTATATTTATATTGTAACAAATTATTTTGTAATTACAGCATATATGTATAGTGTGTGACTAATAACGATCGACTAAGAATTCCTTACGAGGTATAAGCGCAATGTATCATCGATGAAGAAGCTGAAAAAAAAGTCGGATAGCGCGAGAGGCGGGCAAGCGAGCAAAACAGCAGGCGCCACAAATACAAGCGGAGATGCATCACCTACCCGTGTGTGTAGAGATTTCCTGCGAAACGTATGTCACAGGGGTAAACGTTGCAAGTATTTACATGAACGTTCCGAAGACGATCCTATAGACGAATATACGTTCTGTCATGACTTTCAAAATGGTATGTGTAATTGGCCTGGATGTAAATTTCTTCATTGTACGGAAAGTGAGGAGAAGAGATTCCGAGCAACAGGAGAATTACCTGCTCATATCTTGAGCAGGCTCAAGAATAATAATGAGAAATCTGAATATCCCATGTGCAAAGATTTTATCAAGGGTAGTTGTCAAAGAACAAATTGTAAATTCAGACATTGGAAGAATGAAGAACCACAGCATAATTTGATTGCTACTTCCCATCATAATGTATCTAGACCACAGCATAATTTCAATGGCACTAGTAATGATGAAAATCGGAGATACGAAGAGGATAGAAAGTAAGTTTATTCAATGTTTTATTTTATTTTTTTTTGTTATTCAATTTTAAAAGAATACAATTTTCTTTAAATACTTAATATGCTTTGATTTTAAGTATAAATATTTTTGAAATATATCTTTAATAATATATCTATATATCTTTATATTTAGTTTCCACTGGCAAATGGAAGATCAACATAACTTAGTCACAAATAATGGTTATAATACTTCTTCACATCCACCTGATTATATAGGACCTCCTGAACCAAAGAGACGAATAGTTTCTGGTGAAACTGTTGTTCATTTTGAAGCTTCACAACTTGTAGGCCAACATACTGCACAACCAGTTACACCAGGATACTATTATCCAGTAATACCACGTAATGAAGCTAGAGCAATTGTTTTAGAAGATGAAAATGCTTTATTAAGAAAAAAAATAGAAGAATTAAAAAAACAAGTTAGTATAATTTTACTATTATAATTTTTTTCACATTCAATCTATATAATAAATTTATATATATTATTTTTCAAGGTTAGTGATTTAACAGCAACTAATGAATTTCTTTTGGATCAAAATGCTCAGTTAAGAATGTCAGGGAAACGAACTGCAAATGTAACGGCTGTTACAGTTCCTGCAGTTACTATTACAAATACTGTTCCACCATCACAAGCTCCAACACCTCAACAAATGGTTAATGCAGCAGTAGCTGCTGGTACCTTACGTACAGTTACTGCAAGTGTTGCAACTGTTCCTGTAAGTATAGCTACAGTTGCACCTGTTTCTATTGCAGCAGTTTCAATGGCACCAGTATCAATTCCGCCTCCCATTGTTACAATGGCTCAACAAACTATTACAATGAGCGGTTCAGGTCCACAAGCAACTAATCAACAGCCACCTAATACACAACAACCAGCTAGCTTACCTCTTTCAATATCTGGTGCTACTGCACCATTGGTTTCGTATCCTATTATGACTCAAGAACTTAGGCCGGTATTGCAGTAAATATACTATAAATGAGAAAGGAACATCAAATAATACCTCAAACATTTGAAGAATCAAGAATGCTGTCTTCTGCATTCAGTCTTTCAAAATGATATTGTATTTCTACTATTTTTTCGAATATAAGTGATGAATGTGAAAAGAAATATCTTCAGACGATCAAAAATTTTAGAGAAATAAATTGTTGAAAATATCATATTAATAAAAAAAAAAATGCGACATCTTCAATATTTATGTAGAAACTCATAGAAATTATGTACAGGATAAATATAATGATCATAACTGTTTTTTAGCAGTATAGCTTAAATAACATGCCCTTATTATAATCTCTTAAGTCTAGTATTTTCGTTCCTTTCAATAGTTTACCCTAAAAGGTGTTGACTACATTAATATGTTAATATGCAACAATAAATGTCCAAAGTGTGTATAGATTTAGATTAATAAGAATACTGATCTAAAACCATGTTGAATGGTTGAGAATGATATTCTCTTATTCTTTTTTTGATATTGTAATATCATAAAAATACAAATAATTTTGTAGGTAATTTTTTGTATTATTAAAAAGATAATCAGATACAAGTAAAAAAAAAAATGTAAATTAAAGAAAATATAGATAAGAAATTACTTGTTTAGACTAATATGTTAAAATAAGTACAAAACTAGGATGAAGCATGTAAATGAATTATATTAAAAGTTCAAACTTAAGGTTACTGTTTTCTAATGGTGAACCTTATATATTCTGTACGCAATGCTGTAAATAATATTTTGTTGCTTCCTCATTTTCTCAGAAAGAATTTTTATACTTCCATCTCTTTAACAAATAAGTTAACTACTCTTATAAAATAGTGATATTTTAATAAATTAAGTACTTACTTATTGTGGTCTTTTGTGTTTTTACAATTTTACTTAAGTAAATGGCTTTGCATTCAGGTGATGGAAAGTAAAGACTATGGTTTTAAACCGAATGTAAGAATCAGATATACAGACATGTAACATGCATCCCATAAACCAAATAAACATATGTACATGTTTTCAAGTTATATTATCAGTCATGGATTGATATATGTGTAAATATATTTTGCGTAATTAGTATAAGAAATTGAGCAATAAGTATATACTCTTGTATTTTATATATGCATACAAATGTATAATCTTTTATGTATCATTTTATGTTAACAAGCATCTCATTAAAATGATAAATCTTTAAATTCTTCAAAAATAGCATTCATATCATATGTTTTATTAAATTAAAAAAATTTGATGCGTTTGTATAATAAGATTTTTTTTTATTTAATATTACAATTAAATATATTTAAAAAATTTATTAATTAATTTTATTTAAAAAATTTTTAAAGACAATAATATGTAATATATTTAAAATAGCTTTTTGTACAATTTATTTCATTTAAATTTTTATTTTCATTTTAATTTTCTATTTTAAAATATTCATTAGACCAAAAAAATAACTTTAAAGAACAATTGAAGAAGAAATATTGATATTTGATATGATATTAATTGATAGTAAATGTGACTGGAAATTAAGTATTGAGTGTATCGTAGTTTATAATATTATCTATCTGATTAGTTGATGAATATGTCAATAGAATCTCCATAAAAAATAATGTTATTATAATATTTTTACTCTTATAAAAATAATATTTTTAATTCTTGAAATTGTGAAATACAAGAGTTTCATTTAAATAATTTTTAATTACATTGTTTTAACATTTAAAATATTTCAATGTAATTTATTTTGTTAATACATTGATAAATTTTGTTTGATTTATTTAATATAAATTTAAAATTAAATGAAAGGTCTTATATATAGATCTACAAATTACTTATATTAAATTTTATAATTATCATTGATATTTTTTATATTAATATTTTATATTTTTTGTACATAAATAATTATAAAATCAGAATAAATATATCTTGTTATAAGTTAAATTATTATTTATATACAAAAATATTTATTTATAATTTATAAAAATTATATCTAAATATGTATTTTATAATTTGCAAAATTAATATAATATGATAAGATCTTTTAAATTTTTTCAATGAAAATAAGAAAATTTCATTAATTCATATTTGTGAAGTTTTTTTCTTAAGATTAAGTGAAATATAATTGACCATCCATTAGTTTTCAATGATCAATCTTACAATAAAATATTAATAAATGAATATAACAATTTTATTTTCTATATAAGAGAAAATAAATATGTAATGAAAAATGTTTTAAAACTATAATATTATTACACAATTTCGTAAATATCTTTTCTCAGAATTATTATATTTTGTATTTTTTTTTTTTGCTGTTGTAGAAAAGTTTGCATTATAATAATATTCTATAACAGATATTTAATATTAGATGCTGCATCCTTTATCATCTTTTTTACATCTCTTGTTCGATGTCATATGCGATTTAAAGATAAATGGCAAAAGAATTCTAAATCTTATTTTTCGTTTACAAAAATTATCAAAGAATAAAATTCATCATATACACACAAATAGATTCATCAAATTACATTTCATATTAATGTATATAAATATATATATTAAAAATATTTCATATATATTTAAATATTGCGTTTAATAAATGAAATTAAAATTCGTTTTTTAATTTATACATATTATATCTCTTATTTTATATCTCTTAATAAAAAATATATTATATATACATTTATTTATTTTTATTTTAAGAGAGATAATAAAGATAATCAAACCGAAATCACCATTTGACACATGAATTTTATGCAGTAAGTATATTAATATAACAAAGGAAATGAAAGAAAAAATTAAAAATTAAGAAATCAATGCCATCTCTAAAGTGTCATAAAAATACTTTATTTATAAATATAAATAAATAATATTTTTATATATAAATAAAAATATTTTTATCTAAATATCTAGTCTGTAATTTCGTCACAAAAGAAAATAAAAAAATTTCTCATTTGTGGCGATGAGAATTGAAATTATATTCAATTCAATCATAAAAATTGATACAATTAACAGATTTTAAAAATAATTTTAATTTTTAATTTTTAATTTTAATTTCATAAATATATATATATTAAATAAATTCATCGATCTTTTAATTGCTATTAATAGTAAACAAATATATATACGAGAATATATATATATACTACTCTTGAGCAAAAAAATAAAATAATTTATGTAGAACAAATATAGATAAAGAAATCAAATAGGAAAATAAATATAAGATAAAAATTTACTGTCAGCATTTTGAATACCAAAAATTTTTTTTAAAGTATTCAAGAGATGGTGCTGATGATAAATTCTTATTCTATTTCATAGATCTTATTTATATCTGTTTCAATTGCGATATTTTAGAAATCTTTCATTTCAGCTGATTCCTTAATTTTTATAATTATCTTTTTTTACTTTTATTATTTATTTTTCTTTATATTCATTTTTGGTGTATAATAGATAAGATACGGGATTATTATATATACAATGAATACATTTTCATCATTTTTCTTTCAAAAATACAATATGTTTTAATATATAAAATAATAAATATAGATATTATATTTTTGATTTTACAAAATATCTTTAGAACAACAAATCTTGCAAAACAGGCCATAGTGAAATTTAAATTATTTCAAAAAGTAGATAAAAATTTCGCGTTCAGTTTTTTTTTAATTATATTTTTCTAATTTTAAATCGTAAATTCAGAATAAAAATTTGTATTGTTAGAAATTTCGATTTTATATTAGGAGAATATAAATTCTATTATCTTTATCTTTATCAGCCGTTTTGTTTAAGCAAAACTCGAAATATTACAAAAATATTAACATAATTTAAATATCATGTCTCAATATATCATCACTCAAAATTAAAATATTTTAACTATATAAAATGCAAATCATCATTGATTCAGAATTTGTTTATAATATATAATATACATAATAATAACAATAATTATTATACCTTATTTTTTAAAAATATGTTTAGAATGTGTAATGATTACATACTTTGATTAACTATTTTATCAATATTTACAAGCAGATTAATTTTTTAATTTTTAAATTTGATAAATGTAATATTCAACCATAATTTGATATTTGTATTCACAAATATTTATAAGTAATATTTTTTATGCTATTGTTAACAAAGATCGTAAAGTTCGATTTTTTAACCAATATACACCTGCTAATAAAATGGTACAACAAAATCCAACTAAGAATCGTAATTTCCAATGATATTTGGAAGCTTTTAAAACATTAATGATTCTAATAGATTGTTGTCTAGTATCATATTCACTACCAGAATTTTCAATAACAAAATTTGCCATTTCTGCTTTCTTTTCTAATGACATTTGTGCAGCAATTCTTAATTTTGCTTTAGCTTCTGTGAATCCTGTTCTTTCCATAAGTCGTTGTAATTGTAAATCTTCTTCACTAAAATTAAACATATATATAGTTTTTTTATATTAATAATTTTTTTTATATAATAATTTTTATTTATTAATTATATTTATATCTTTATATAAATGAAGGCCATTTTCTTTACCAAGTTACAACAATTATTTTATGTAAGTAATTTAACATATGTCCTGTTTCAAAAAGTAATGGCAATTCCATAAGTATAAATTGATGACCTTGTAAAAAATATTTAAATGCTTGCCAATATATTTTCTTATATATATATGGATGTGTTATAGCATTTAATTTTTTTCTTTTTTCTATATCGTTAAATATTAAATCTCCAAGTTTTGCTCTATCAAGTTCATCTGTATCTAAAAATATTTCCAAACCAAATTCTTTACGTATTTTATGCCAAGCTGGTTTTCCAGGTTCTACAACTAAATATAAAATATATAAATTTTTAAATAAATAATAAATGTATTAAAATAATCTTGTAATAAAATATCATAAATATATTAAAATAATCTTATAATAAAATATTAATCTTATAATAAAATATATTATAAATATTCTTAAATAATAAAAATTTTATTTTACTTCTAACCTTTTCGTGCAATTTGATCAGCATCAATGACAGGTATACCGAATTCTTGAAAAACAGCAGCAACACTACTTTTTCCAGTAGCTATTCCACCTGTCAAACCTACTAAAAACATTTTTCCTTAATATTTATTTTTATACTTTGATATTTATTTTTTAATAGTTAAATGAACATCGTTATTAGTATTGCATTGCAAAATTTGATCTTATTTAATATAAATTATATTACAACAATTTTCATTAAAATTGAAAGTTTTTTCTTTTGTATAATTTTAGTATTAACACATATATATATAAAATATATATATTTTATTGAAAGGCACATGAACTAATTAAAGATGCATAAAACGAACAGAACATAAAGATATATATAATTGATTATATGTTTAATTAGAATATATTGTTTCAATTTAAATTGAAACAATTAATTTATAAAAATAATTTTTCAAAATTATTAATTTGATCATTTGTATGAATTGTTATACTTTTAAATAACTTTTTTTTTTAAATAAATTATTGAAAATTTTAAGTCTATATTAAAATTCGTAATTCATAGAAACTTGAAACTAGTAACATTATCATTAACCAAACAGAATACTGAAATGAAAGTTCAGAATCCGAACATTGTTGCCGGATTTATTTTCATTATGTTTTTTTAGTATCTAAGATAGTGTGTTATTGTGTAAAATATGTCAATATTTCGACTCTAGATTTGTGAATCGTCCCTAATTTCTTTATATTTTAATCATAGTTTTATGTACATCGATTTGTTAAACAATATAAAGAGCTATAATCAAGCTATAACATTACTACGCCATTTTTAATTTTGAAAGAATATTTTGTATTATAACAAAAAAATCTGAATTAGATGATTGGATTTCATTGTATTGTTTTATTTAATTTAACTTTAAAAAATTAAATTTTAAAAATATGTAACATTACATTATAAATAATATAATATTTTAATATATTTTCTATACTATTGACATATAAAATTTTTATTTTTATTTAACGAATTAAAGAAGAAGGATTTATATTAAGAAGTTGTAAGATTATAAAGAAAAGATTAAAATGAATTGTCGGTTTAATAAACCTATTCGTACTTATGAAAGAAAAAAATTCAGAGAAATAGTAATTTCAACACCAAAAATAAATAATTTAGATGATGCTAATAATAAAAATAATGCTTTACTAAATAAAAATTTAAACGAAGAAAGTAATGATTCTATGTATGATGATCCTTTTGAAACTACATTTGATAGACTTCTTAAAAATACGAGGTAAAAAATTTTATAATTATTTTATTAAAATATTTAATAGAATATATTAATAAAATACCTTTATATAGAAAACTTCCACCATCAGCACCTAAAACATATAATGATACGATATTAGTAACTAGCACAGATAGTAAATCTGAAATAAGTAATCATAAGTCTTCATTATTTGAGATGTGCAATTTTGATACAAAATTAATTTCTAATCAGAAAGTAATGCATAAAAAGCCAAAAATGCGAATTGTAAAGAAAACAATAATAAAAAAAAAAATATCTATATCACAAAATACTGGAAAATTTAAAGTAAGTATTTATTTATTACTTATAAAATAATATTGAATTTATTATTATTTATTATCGTATGTATCATTATTATATAAACTAAAAATATTGAAATAATTTAATAGGTATGTAAAGATGAATCTCAAAAAAAATATGAATTGCGTAAAACAAGAAATAATAAAAAAATGTTATCTAAATGTTTAAATGATGATTGTTTAAGTTTTAATTTTAATGAAAGTAAAATTCCTGAAAGTAAAAAATGCAATCAAAGTAAAAGAAAAACTTCTAATAAAAAATATTTTGTAAAAAAGAAGAGAAAGGATGATAGTAATATGTCAAGAATAAAATCTTCTATTAATATAGAAATAAAACCATGTTTTGTTAATTTGGATAGATCTATTGTAACACAATGGAATAATAAATTAAAAAATAAGAATGTAATAGAGAATAATTTAGTGAAGAAAAATAATAAATTATTAGATCAATATTCGATTATTAATACTAATATTAATAATTTTAAATCTAATAGTGAAAATGTGACATGTTGCTCTAAAAAAGAACAATTAAAAGTAGATTCATATATAAAATCATTCAATATTGAGAAAAAATATAAAGGTATATTCAGTAGTACACCTAATGGTAAACCTATTAGGCCATCTGTTCATTTGATTCCTTTATCACCAATTTCTATTGAACATTTAAAAAAAAATGAAGATTCTATAATGCTTGCAAATAATACTTTAATTAATGAAAATAATGAAGTTTCATTAGAGTCCAAATCAATAACTAATGATATATACAAAAATATAAAAGAAAAATGTATATTTGAAGATAAATCTAAATTATTATCTAATTTCAGTGAATGCAATTTAAATCAATTAGAAAATGTAGATAAAAAAAATATTAATTTATTGACTATATTTAACTATACTACTAATGAACATTCTAAGCAAAAAAGAGAATCCTTAATAAAAATAGATTCAGAACAAAATATTTCAAAAAATCAAACTAAACAAGACGAGTTAAATAAATTAACACAAGAATATAAAATTTCAAATATAAAAATGGATAAATATTACTTAAAATTTTCTATTGATGAAAATAACTCATGTTCTTTATTTGATAGTAATGAAAGTATTCAAAATATATTACATAATTTTCCTGAAGAAAATAATGTAATAAAAAGATCTAATAATTTAGTAATAAATGAGAAAAATATAAAAGTAAATAATGAAATACATTCTAATTTTGTAAAATTAAATGAAAAATCAGTTTTAAATATTGATAAAGAAATAATTTTCAATGATAAAATATGGGAAGAATTACCTACAACTTCAATCCCAATAACTTTAGATTCATCATCTGATGATGTAGAATTTAAATTAAAAACTAACGAAATTGAAAATAAAAATAATAGTATACTAATTGAACAAACTTTATCAAATGAAAACAATATATCAAATAAAAAATATTCTTCTATAGATGGAAACAATACATCATCATGTCATGTAGTTTTGAAACAATTGCAAGATCCCTTTAGAATTACAAGAAGAAAAAAATATTCTAAATGGGATCTTGAATTAATTGCTATAACAGAAGATTGTAATAATAGTACTAAAGTGAAAGAAAAATCTATGAATTCAAGAAAAGAAATTAAGAATAGACAAATATCACAAAAAAGATCATCAACTTTAGAAAATATAATAGAGGAATCTAATAATAATAAATGTATAGAAATAAAAAAACCTATATATTTAAAACCAGGCAAATCTTGGGCAAGATCTTTATCAATTTTAAATAATATACAAACTGAATTTAATTTGGAAAAATTATCTATTGGAAAAGGTAAAAGATGGAGAGATAGTGTTCAGGATATTTTGAATATGCAAACACAAGGTAATTATAAATTTTAATATAATTAAAAATGCTTAATTTATTTTATTTAATTAAAAATTATACTTTATATTAAATTTATTTTCATATATAAAGATTAATACACAATGTATATATATAATCACATAAACATTTGAATATCGTTTTTATATTTTACAAAACAAAATATTTTATTAACCTGAAACATTAATATTTTATGCTTTTTTATGATATAGTATACATGGTTTATTTCATATTTTACATTTCTTACATATATATTTTATTTTTTAAGAATGTTATTTTAAAATAAATTTTTATTCCAAATATGCATTTTTATTAAAAAAAAAATAAAATATATATTACTTTGTAAATATGTTGTAAATGGGTAGGTCTTTAAAGTGAACAAATATTTATTTAGATTATAATATTGTAATTAATTGGATTTTTTACACATAGGAATTATACAAAGTTGTATAAAAAAAAATGATAGTGATAAAGAATTACAAATAACTAATGAAGTAATTAATAAATCTGAACATGAATTGGTTAATAAAAAAAGTAGGACTTGTGATTCTACCAATTTTGGACGTGTTTCAAGAAGGATATCAGTTCGTGTTATTCCAATTCATAAAACAGTAAAATCTATTGAAGATGCACCATTTCTTGAAGTTTATGGCATTGTTCCTGTTAAAAGTCAGAGATTTACATTATTAAATAATAGTAAGTAATATCAAATAATAATTTTATTTTATATTGTATATTATTTATATATATTTATGTATAGATCCTCGAAAATCTTCTACATGCAACTTTCAACATGATGACATTGATGGTCAAATTATTAAAGAACATGTAGTTTTAACAGCTAGAGAAGTTATTTTACAAAGATGTTCACAAAAGGATTATATATCATTTTCAACATACTTTTCAGATTTGTAAGTATGTATATATATGGTGTATGTGTGGTGGTGGTGTGTGTGTGTGTGTGTGTGTGTGTGTGTGTGTGTGTGTGTGAGTGCGTGCGTGCGCGCGCGCGCGCGCGTACATATAATGAAAGTGTTAAATTAATATACGTACAATCATATAATAATTTATTTATATATTTAGATACTTAGAATACTGTCGAAAAATTGGAGAAGGTGTATATGGAGAAGTTTTTCTTTATGAACAAGAAAATAAAAAATCTGTTATAAAAATTATTCCTATAGAAGGTAATGATTATGTTAATGGAGAACCACAAAAAAAATTTCATGAAATATTATCAGAAATTGTAATTGCAATGTAATTATAACTTTGTTATTTATGATAAATGTTAACAAATATTAATTATAACATTAATATATTGATAAATTTTAGGGAATTACATAATTTGAGATTCAATGCAAGATACAATACTGATGGATTTGTAGAAGTAAAAAATATTAAATGTATAAAAGGGAAATATCCAGAAAGACTTATAGAATTGTGGAATATCTATGACGAAGAAAAACATTCGGATAATGATTGTCCATCAATGTTTAATGATGATCAGTTATACATTGTTCTTGAACTTGGACATGGTGGTCAAGATCTAGAAGCATTTGTATTTAATACTGCAGAGGAAGCGCATATTTTATTTCTACAGGTTATTTCTTAATATTATATTATAAAAGTTTTATATTAATATTAATCTATATTATTAATATTAATATTTTTTAAAATATAATTATTTCCGTTTTAATAAGTAACAATTTTTAATAGGCTGCATTAGCATTAGCTGTTGCAGAAAAAGCTGTTGAATTTGAACATAGAGACTTGCATTGGGGAAATATATTAATATCTCCGACAAATGAAACTTATGTACATTTTAAAATTGGACAAAAAAACATCGAATTGATTAGTAAAGGTGTAAAGGTAAACAAAAATATTTCTTTTTTATTCCATTTTTTTCTAATTATATAAATAAAGATATTAAATTTCTGTGTTTAGGTGTCTATTATAGATTTCACTTTATCAAGAATAAAATATCAAGGATGTAGTGTATTTAATGATCTTGCATCAGATCCTACACTTTTTTCAGCTCAGGGTGAATATCAATTTGAAATATATCGATTGATGAGAGATAAAGTTAAGTAAGTATTTAAATATAATTTTCATGTTTTTCATATTGAAATAATATAATTATTATATAATTATTTAAAAATTATTTCAGGAATAATTGGCAAACATTTGAACCTTATACAAATATTTTATGGTTGCATTATACTTTAGATAAAATGATTACAGCAGTTAGGTATAGAAAAAGAAATTTAAAAACTCATAAAAATGGCATAACAAAGTTGAAAGAATTGAAAAATGAAATTTTGACATATAATAGTGCCTTTGAGTTTGTAACAAACTGTGATAAAATTGTTAATTTATTACGCATTAATCCAAAATCTGGGTAACACATGTATAAAAAAGAAAAATACACAGTTGTATATAAACAGTAAATAACAATACAATTTTTTAATATTTATGCTACAAATTCAAAATAGCTTGTTATATTAAGTATAATGATAAAACTAAAATAAATATTTCATAATATTAAGATGAAAAAAATTACAGAAATTAAAAAGAAATATGTAAATTTATATATATATATATATAAGATCATATATATATATGATGATATTTTAAATATATTTTTTTTATTTTTACAGGTTTGTTAAGTTTTCTTCAAATTTTTAACAAGTTTTAAGATCTTCTTTAGATATAATTTAATTTAATTTAAAAAATACATTTGTTACAAAAAGATTCTATGTTTTTAAAATCATTTGTTGTAAATAAACCCAATCTTACTATAAATGACAAATACGTTATAATTAATTTTGTATTTTTTATTAAAATTTATTACAAGCATTCTCATTTGATATTAAATCTTTTAAAACTATAATAATATAATTTATATGAGAACAAAATTACAGTATCAAAATTGTTATAACATTAAGATTCAGAATAAATATCTTATAAAAATATATTGTATTTTTGACAAATTTTATTTCAAAAAATTTTATTGTCAAAAGAAAACATTTTTTAAAATATAACAAAATTTATCTTGAAAATTTTAATAATATTAATCTGTTGTTTTAATATATTCATGTATATTGCTCAATTTATGGTAAGCACTACATTGATTAATAAAACTCCATCTTTGTTTATCAAACTATAAAAATAAAAATATATATTAGAATAAAATAAATATAATTATAAAATTATAAATTATAAAATGATTATATAATAATCATTATTATTAATAATCATTATTAATAATTATAAAATAAAAATTTATAAAATTAAATGTACAGTGCTATCTTTTTCCATTTGTTTTTCTTTCTCATATTTATTTTCTAATTCTAGAGATTTTTCTTCACCATTAAAGTATCTGTAATAATATAATTTAATAATATTTTATGCAAATTTAATATTTTTTTTAATAAGTTACCCAAAATTGTGTTCTAAATTGAATTTATAATCTTGTGTTTGTAAAGTTGGATACTTTTGAGTATCATTGAAAGATTTAAATTGCCATTGATTTTGAAAATGTGAAGTTTTCTCCTTTACAATTGATGACATCATTTTATTATACATTGATTCTTTAAAATTAAATAATTATGTTAGTATCTTGTATAAATTTAAGATAGAATTATATTATTTTTAATACCTTCTTCATTCATTGGTAAAATTTGAAATTTCTTTTCTGGTTCATTTAATTTTGTATAAAATTGCTCTTGAACACCGTTATCAGATAAACATTGATTTACATTTTCCATGTGTATTATATTAGTACTATTGTTAATAATTATATTTATTCGTTCATGCAATTCCATTAATTCTTTCATATTCAATGACTAAAAATGTTTAATTATTAATTAAATGTTATTATTATATAAAAATGCGATTACATACTAATAACCAATTTTCTGAATCAAACACTTTTTCATTTTTTATATCATCATCAAATTGTTTTTGTAAAATTTCAATATTTGCTTTATGTCTTTCACAAAGTGCATTTAAACTACTATCATAATTTTTCTTCATTAATATTAATTTATCTTGATATTCTTCCATCTGAGACTGCAAAAATTATAAAAATATTATAGAATATATATAATATGTAAAATATATAATTAATAGTTAAATATAATTTAGTAATTAAAATAATATATTTTATTGTTATATTAATATTAAATAAAAATTACTTTAAGAATAGTACGAAGATCATCATTTTCTTGCACTAAATGTTTTATGACTTCTTTAGGATGTTTTATTTCAAAATCTTTATTCTCTATTTTATTTTGATTTACATTATGTTCATTTGTAATATTTTTTTCTTTATATTTTGTATTTATATTATTATCTTGTAAAGAATCAAATCGTTCAAATGTTATATAATTATTTTTTAACAATTCGTCTTTTGTATTTACATTATTCAATAATTGTATATCAATTTCTTCTATTTCATTTTCTTTTATTTCTCGTTTTTGATCATTATATTTTTGTTTAAAATCTTCATTTGTATTATCTATAGTTAATTCTATTTCTCGATCTTGATGAATCTAAAAATAAAATAAATATATAATTAATTAATAATAAATAAAAGACACATAAGAATATATTTTACTATGTATTTATCTTGCAAATTTTTAATATTTGATGATTCTTCTAAGTTAGGTAGCTTTTTAAGATTTAATAATCTTTCATAAATTTTATTAGAAAGAACATATAATTTATTTTTTAAATTTTCTTCTATCATTTCATTGCGTAGTCTAGTCGATAATTCAGAAATTTCATTTTTCCAATATTCTACATCTTTTTTCAAAATTTCATTTTCACGTAGAAATGCATCTAAACTAATATCAAGTTTTTTATTATTATTTTGATCATTTATAAGTTGATTTCTTAAGTTATTGAGTTCAATTTTTAATTTCTTTTCATTTTTATCCAATTTCGTTAGATTTTCTTGCATTGTATATATAATATTAATTTTATCATTTTGTTCAGTTAAGGATATAATTGTTAAATTCATTTCCATAAGTTTATGTTCCATATCTTTTACTTTTTCATTTAATAACTTATTTTCATTTTCCAACTTCAAAATTTCACAATGTTTTCCTTCCATTGCATTTTCATATTCAGCAACTTTTTGTGATAAAATATTATCAATTTTATCAATATTACTTTTTAAACTAATTATAGTTTTATCCTTTGTAGAAATAATCATATTAGTTTGAATATTATTTTTTTTTAATTCATTATTTTCAAATTGTGAATCAATCAATCTACAAATATGTTAAGAATTAAAATTAAGAATTAAATAAAATTAAAAATTATAAATAAAAATTTAACTAATGAAAAAAATAATTAAATATTTTTATAAAACAAAATAAGTATTACCTTTTTTCTATTTCTTTAATTTTATTTTCCAAAACAGTATTTAAATTTTTAGTTTCAAGGAATTCATGAACTTTCTGTGATAAATTTTTAATTTGTTTGTTTTTCATTACTAATTGTTTCTTGCTTTGTTGACATTCTTTTGATAATCTATTTTTTATATTTTCTAGATTTTTGTTCTCTTTTTTTAATGTATTACAATCTTTATCATATATGGACAACTCATTTTTAAATACTTCAAGTTGCCCTTCTAATTTCAATATAAGATCATCTTTTTTATTAAGATCTATGGTCATTTTTGATAATTGCTCTTTAATATTATTTTCAAACTTTTCTTCTTTTAAACAATCACCTTCTCCTCTTTGTTGTTGAGCCATTTCCTTTTTTAATTGAGCTATTTCTACATCTTTCCTTTTTAATTCTTTTTGTTGTTCTCCTATTCTTTCAATTATTTGTATATGTTGATCTCCAGCACCTTAATAAATTACTTTTTGACATTAATTATTATAAATATATTTGATATTTATTTATAATTAAATTTATCATTTTTAAATGTTTCTATGTAAATAAATAAAAATATGATATATTTAATATATATATATTTTACTTATTTATATTACATATTTATATTTATTATATATTATATAATTAATGCAATTAATATATATATATTTTTACTTATTTATATTATATATTTATATATTTTATTTATTTATATTTATATAAATTATAATGCAATATAATTATAATTAATATAATTACCTTGAAGAATTGTACTTATTTTATTAATACACGATTTCAAATATGTTTCAATTGCTCGATTAATTTTTTCATCACATAAATGTTTTTTTTCCGTATATAAAATTTCATTTAATAACTGATATAAAATTTCTTCAATAAATTCATTTATCTTATTTTGTATCTGTAATAAATCACTAGGAAGCTCTTTAATGTAAGAATTATATTTTATTTGTTCTTCTTTATGTTGATTATACAAATCAGAAATTACTTGCTTCTTTGAGATTATATCTAAAAAAAATTGATATATTAATGTATATTAATAATTAATTATTATTAATGTATATTAATAATAATTTTATAAAAAATACAAACCAGCAACTTAAATTACCTTGAGATATATTAATAGCTGATTGTGTATCTTTAAGTATTTCATAAAAATAGTAAGTTTGTTTAATCATTACAGGGCGTTCAATTTCTACATATATTTGTAATTTTTGTGTAAGAGATCGCAATTTTATAATAAAATGCGTAAAATATTTAATGATTTCTTTTTCTATCTTATCTATATTATCATTTCTACTCAATTTAATCATATAATTATGATATTCCTATTAAAAGATATATTATTTTTTTCATGAAAAATATTAAACAAATGAAAAATATTACCTTTTGGAATTCATGAAAATCGAAATTATTTATTGTTTCATTTAATAAATTTGTATTATTAAATGAATTATTAGGTGAAATAGTGTCTAATTCTAATTCACTTGAATTATTTTCATTTTGCCTTACATCAAATAAAACTATGTTGTCCTTAACTAAAATATATGAGTTTGATAATACTGATTTTCAACACAATATATAATTTATATATATATTTTAAAAAACATTACTTATATTTTTTGAATCCTCTTTAGATTCATCAAAAAATTCTTCACAAATTATATTTTTTAAATTTTGATTAGAATAATTTTGCTGTTTATTATTTCTTATATAGTGTTCTAAATCTCCTATTTGTTGTAAATAATTCTCTCTTTCTATTTTGTAACTTTGAAATCTTGTCATAATAATGTTTATATTGTATAATATATTATTTGCTTCTTCACCGATATCCAAGTTACATTTTGTACAACTACAAACTTCTTCACAAACATCATTAAGCTCTTCTAAATTGTTTAAAATGTATTTTATATTATTGAAAAAATCACTAATATCTTGCTTCATAGAAACTAATTGCTCTTGATATTGAGAAATCTTAATATCCTTATTTTGAATTTCAGTTTTTAAAATCTCCAATGTATTGTTTGTTTCCATCTAATAATTAGAATTAAAAAACACAAAAACATAAAATATAATAATTATAAATTAATAAAATTTAATACATATAATAAAAAAAATATACTTGTTCATTATATTTAATAGATAGTTCTTTAATCACTTTTAACAATTGATTTAATTTTTCTTCTTGATCTGTTAATAGACAATGCTGCTCATAATTTTGTTTCTTAAGTTCGTCTCTTTCTTTTAATACATTTTTTAATTGTTCTAAAGATTCATTATAATTTTTTGCTAATTCTTCCATGTCTTGTACTTTTTTCTATGATATAGAAAGAATAAATAATATTTTTTTTTAAATTTTAATTTTAAATATAAATAATAACTAACTAAAAGTGACTCTTTTTCTAATCGTAATGTTATTGTTTCTTTAATACATAATTGAAGCTTTTCAATTTCCTGAGAATATAAATAACAACTTTCACATTTCTCATTTAAATCTTGTTTGAGTTGTTCCATTAAGCATTTATAACCATGGAGCTAGAAAAAAAAAGGTAATATTTATAAAATAAAATAATAATATTAATAAAAATTATATTACTTTTTGCTTCAAATCTTCTATTTCATAATTACGCTCATGATCTAATTTGAACAATTTTTCATGTAATATCTGTATAATAATTATTAAATATTAATTGACTTAAATATTTTTATACAACATACTTTAAAATTAATATGTAAGATTATATTTTGTAACTTGCTTTAAGATTCTCTTGTTGAGTGTGTATAAAACTTTCCTTTTCTTTTAATAAAATCTCCAAATGTTTATTCATATCACGTAATTCTTCTAATTCAGCATCTCTTACCTGAAGAAAATAAAAATATAAATTATTATATAATTATAGACTTACATTATAATTATAAACTTATATATCATACACAGAGTTCATTTTTTAAGACAATGATTTCAGAATCTTTTTGAATGATAATTCCTTTGTGAATACTATTATGCCGATCAAAATCAGATTCTGTCCCTATTTCAGTATCAGATTCTGTTGGACTTTCAATATCTTGTGAGCTATCACTACAAGATGCATCACATTCAAAACTTTGTTCCTCATGATTATTTGTTTGTGTACTACTTTTGTCTAGATCTACTACACTGTTATCCTCGTCACTAGATTTAGATGTGAATGATGTTTGTGACATTGTCTAAATAATATAATATTTATATAAATATATTACTAAAATAATAAAGAGTACAATTAAATTGGCAATTAGATCCATACAGATACTGTTATAGTTTTATTTAAATATTTATCAACTTGATCACTGATTTGTACTTCTACATCACGTGTTTCTTTTTCTACCTATAAATAGATATTAAATTTATTAAAATGATATTAATAATAATATGAAAAATTTGATTGATATATTATAACTACTTGTAAAGCTACATCAACATATTCTATCCAGGATGATGTCTTTTCACTGTATTCTGCAACATTCAACATATTTTAAATTAAAATGAAGAAAATTAAAAATTTTATAAATACTTTTATTTATATTGTTTTACCTGAAATAGGAAATGATTTCAAAATAGATCTACATGATGATATTAAATTATAATTTTTCAAAGATGAATCAAATGCTGTTAAAGAATATAATTGATTATGATTTGTTATAGTTGATGCATTTTGTTTATTTTGTAAATTTCTCTCACAAGGTATATGAATTGATAAATATGAATTTGAATGAATCACAGGACCTGATTTACTCATATTAAAAAATGCATCCTTTAATAATCCTGTTGTATAATTGTTTTTTTGTGACGAAGTTTTTACTTTTGAAATATAATCCTAAAAAATAAAGTAATAAGAGATTATTGCATAATTTTGTATTATATATAGTATATTTGTATTATATAATAGTATAATATAAAATATGTTTACTAAATTTCTTAATTCTTCTTCTTGTTCAGGAGTAAGTCTAAGACTCTTATATTTGTTAAGTTCTCTTTTAACTGCTTGAAGTTTATTTTGAGTTTCTGAATTGAGTTGAATAATATTATCAATGACTACATTAAATGGTATTATTTTTCCTATCTACAAAAAAAGATAGCTGGAAATTTTTATTTTAAATTTTATTATTTACTTAAGTACATACTGATGAATCATGTTCATTGAGTTCACGAAAATAACGTGAATTTTCTAAAGAATTCGGACTCCAAGCTCTAATATCCGAACAAGAATCATGTAATTTTAATCGACCTTCTAAACGTTTTTTCGGTAAAACATAATCACCATATATCAAAGGTGTTCCAGAGTTATGTTTACTAGTTAAAAAAATTCGAGGTCCATGTTCTACGTAAGACATATTTACTTTCTTTTTCTTTATTCAATATCAGTTTATATATTAATTACTACTGTTAACATAATTGATGAAATCTATATAAAATTCTTCTTTTAAAAATACAATTTATAAAATAAATTGCATTATATATTTGATTGTTTTTATTTACATACTATAGTAACTATTAAAAAACAAAACCTAAAATAATATAAATGGTGATCAATATAAAATTCATGCATAAAATTCATAATAAATATTTTATTTTATAAATAATCATTAGAAAGAATTGTATTACATTTATCATAATTTTTCATTTCTACTAAAATAATATAATCTATAAAATCTATAATATATAATATGAATATAATATGAATGTGGTATGAATTTTGTAGTAAATTACTTAAAATATAGAGAATAATGAAATGAAGATAACAAGTAATTTATACTGATATGTATATTTAAGTATAAAATATTATATATAGATTGTCAGAACATATATATATATATATATATATATATATATATATACACAATACAATAAACACATACATGTATATCATTACATTATTTACTGCATAATTGACAAAATATTACTTGTATATATTTGTTTTCTCTTACAAAAAAGTTCTTGTTTTCATAAATGAAATTTCTACAAAATACATTTCACATATTTTTTTGTTATTTATGTTTGTAGTAATATAAAATCAAACCATTTAATAAAAAATTAAATCAAGTAAAATTTTACATGAAAAAAATATTGCAAAAATAAACTTCTTTAATTTAATAACTAAAATATTTATATATATTATATATTTTCATATATAATTTTTTATATATATAAATCAATTTATATAATTGTGTTATATTATATATAGTGAAATATTTCTCTATTATGATGTATGTATCTTTGTCAATTTAATTGAAAAAACGTAATTAATTAATATATGCACATTAATGATATATATAATATTTAAAACTAAAAATGTTTTCTTTTTAATTAAATATTATAAAGTATGTTATATGAAGCATTATATATTTTTCTTGCACTACAAAAATACTATATAAATGGAATGCCATATTTATCACAATCCATTTTTTATATTTATGTATGAAACAATGATAAATATATAAAGAAAGTACATTTTACATGTCTATAAATATATTTTGTAATATTAAAGAATTTTACAATTTGTAAAATATATATTTTAATATCTAATATTCAATTAGATAACAAATAACATTTATAAAACTGGAATTAAAATTCAAAAACTTCAACATTCTTTAAACAGAATACATATAAAAGTAGATGTGTTTCTGAATACATTGCAATAGGAGTATTCTCAGTTTTGTATATTTATATTGTAAAAAATATTTGGAATGTATAAAATGTAAATATAAGGCCACTCAATTATTTTTTTTTTTTTACTTCTTATATTCAATTATGAAATGAAATATTCATATTAGCATTTCATTTTCTAATGATTTATATACACTTCAATCATCATTTTTAAAAGTTCCTCTAATTATAATGATAAATTAAATTATGTAACTTTATTACCTGTATTATATATACATAAAAAAATAATTAAAAATATAACGTATCATAAAATAATAATTTTAATATTAATTATTAAGTAATAACAGATTGCAAATTATCAAATTGATGAGAATGATAAAACATAATTTTATAAAAATAATTTTATATATTAAATTTTAAATCTTCATATTTGCATTTCATTTCATTAAGTAAAATTTAAGTACATTTTATGTATTATATATTAAGTACTACAAATATTATTTCAATATTTTTAAAATGTTTTCTCAACACAATATATATATATATATACACACACACAAACTGTTTCTTTGATTAATCTATTTTGAAAACTGATATGAATATTTTGATACTGAATGTATATAAAATATAATAATAAAAGAATATAATAAAAGAATTATTGAAAAATATATAATTTGTTTAAATATTTCATATAAAAAGATTAAAAAGTTTTCATTTTCAAGATGTTTTGTTTTTGATTAAAAGTATAACATGAATAATTTATTTTCTAATTTTAATATTCTACTTTCTATTTATCATATCATGTTTTATTTTTCTTCAAATAAATTTATTGTTTTAATATTTTTTATATATAATATTTATATTAATTTACAAAAAATATTAAAATAAGATATACGAATTATTATATAAATTTTATTTAAAAAAATTTAACTCTAATCTATAAAATAATTTTTCATTTTATTTCTCTTTCATATCAATCTATTTTGTATATGAAACATATTTCAATTTAAAAAATATATATTAAAAATAATAATGATTTAGCAAAATTAATTTGTAATATTAAAGAATAAGTTTAATGAAAAATGTATTAAATTAAAAAAAAATAATGAATCTTTTTAAAATATTCATTTCATGTAAATTTTATATTAATTTCTTTATTTAAATGAATTAAATTATTATTTAATTATGTAAAATGTAGCTATCAAACTTTATAATGCTTCATTTATTTCATTACTTTATCTCTTATTGTCATGTTATATTTTCATGTTTCTATACTTTTTGTTTGTAAATGAATATTTGAATTAATATTTAATGAGTATGATGTAATGTAAAAAGTAGAATTTTACATTTTTTACTTATAAATGTAAAACACCTTGATCAAAATGATTTTGATGATGATGATGATGAAAATGATGATGTTGAGCAGTAGAAGTAGATGTTGCTGCATCATCTTGTAATGTTACACCTGTTAAGTCTACAATTTCATCTGCATCTTCATCACTACCAGTGGCAGCACTTTGCGTAGACTGATGACTTCCAGAGGACAATTGACTATTACGTGAAAATGATCCTCGTCTTGGAGCAGCTAATGCTGCTCGTTGATTTGCTGGTTTCACTGTGATTATGAGATTCGAAGAATTGGCAATCATCATATCTGTCACCTATTTAATATACATATATATATGTATGTATGTATATATGTATATATATATTTATATATATATATATATGTAAATAAAAAATGCAAATAAAATAATAAATATTATATTACATACTTGATCTAGAGTTTTTCCAGCAACTTCTATACCATTTACTTCAAGAACTTCATCATTTACTGCCAGAAGTCCTGTACTTTCAGCTAAACCACCTGGTACTAATCTACTTATAAATACACCTGGAACTTTTTCAATACCACCTCCAGCAGATGATGGCAATATTCGAAAACTTTCTCCATCTTTAATATAAAATCCTAATGGCTTATCAGAACCATGTTTTAATAAACGCACCCGACGACAAGTTTCTGGCAATATATCTACATCAATTATTGCTGATACCTATTATATTGTTAATAAAATTTGTATTTTATATTTTAAATAATATATATAATTATATTTATCTTAATAATATAATTTGTATTTATATAATAAATAAACTTACCTGCCTAAAATCATGAGGATTAGATATAGCTAATGATTTTGGTTTGCCAGGTGTACCACCAAGAATACTTGATATTAAATTTTTTGGTTTTATTGTTCCATATCCATTTATATCTTCTAATCCATCTCCTATTATATACAAAATAAATTATTTTTATATAAGTTATAAATACACTATCAATACTATCAATACTAAGATATAAAATATTAAATTTAATAACAATATTAATAATATTACTTAATAATAATAAAAAGATAAACAATAGATACATTCTCTATTATCATAAAATGGATTTTTTCTTTTATTAAAAATTTTTTTTTTCTATATTTTAAAATAAATATTGATAGATTTATATTTCTCACATATAAATTTATATTTTATAATTATTTAATATAAAACCATCTTACCCTTTATTCTTTGAATAAAAATTCTAAGTAATGGTTTTGCAGCAAGTAATGCTCTTGCTAAATTATTATCATTGTTAATTGGTAATAAATCACCATCAGTTGGATCAGTATACCATATTAAAAAACTTAAATCAGGACCAATATCATGTCGTTCAGCTAATAACTTTTTAAAATCCTCATAATTAATTGTATCATTACGATTGACTGAAAATCTTATTATATCTGCATCAAACTATAAAAAAGAAATTGAAATTATCTATATATAAAAAAATTTAATAAATAATATAAAGAAAGAAAGAAAGAAAAAATATTTAAATCTTACTACATAATATTATTTCTATTTAATAATAGCAAAAAAATAAGAACTTCGACATTAAAAAGAAACTTACTTTACTCTTTACTGCTACAATATTGCTATCAACTTGATGATGCTTACTTTTAGACATGATCTTAATTTGAAATTAATTTAATTTCGAAGTAAATCTACAACTCACAAATACGATGACGTGACGTCAAAGCACCTGTTTAGTAGAACGTACTTGACCGCAACCGACTCTAAGTATAAGCTGTGTTGAACATAAATCTGCTAACAATAAGAAAGTCCAGTTTCAATATAAACATAACCTAGTTAGTATTATATATTCCCGCGATTTTATAAAATATTTGTTTATCGTAATATAAATATAATAATAAAATATAATAATTTATAAATAATAGATTATGTGTGTATTTAAAAAAACATGGAAAAAATAAGAAAAAAAATTTTTTTAACATTCAAATAGATAATAATAAAATAAAATAAAAATCGTACCAACTAACATTTTATCAATTAAACTATGACTGCTATATAATAAAAATATTTTATAAGATATGTAGGTATATAATAGAAGTATTTAATCAAAAGACAAATAGAAATAATAATTTTAATCTAATAATAAAAAATTCAAAAAGTATATTAATTTTAATAATTATATAAGATAAATTTATATTTAACCAGAAATATAATTAAAAACTTTAAACTATTTATTTTTAAAAATGGCTTTTTCTTAATATTTTATAACATTAAATTTTCAGAAAATTAAAAAAAAATATATTTATTCTCTCATTTTCAAGACATTTCAAAAATATAACTAAATTTTTTTTAAAAACTATTTGTAACCTTTTGGATAAGGATGATTATTAATAAAAAAGATTTCGTATTAAACATTTCTATTTTTATTAGAATCAATGTTAAAATT